AGGAAGGGCCCAAGGGTTTCCAGTATCGAGTGCTTAGATGCCTTTGTACTGGTCCACACCTGTGTGTCCGTCTGCAATTGCTCTGTCCCCAGTTCCCACTTGCCAGAGCTAACGTCTCGTGACACAAGAAGATAATGCACCATTGTTGTTCCAGTTCGCTGTGTGTGTTTACTGGATGGGGAAAAAGTATACGGTTGACTTGAGTGGACTACAATCTGTTACTTTAACCTGACAGTGGACACTCGCATCCCATCTAGGAGGAAAACCAAAGGCCTGTCCATGACCTGCAAGGCCCCGAATCCTTGGCTCCTCTTCCTCTCTTCCCCGGAGTTTCCCCCACTCCTGGCTGGAGTCATCTTGGCCTCCCTGAATGCTCACTGACCTCAAGGCCTTTGCTGTCCATGCTACCTACCATCCCCATGGCACCTTGTCCTTTTCTTTCGGATCCGTCTGCCCCCATCTACTCCCTTCCCTGACCCTTGCTCAGGCCTCCTCTCCCTTCCTTCCCTCAGTTTCTCTTGTTATAGATCAACCTGTGGTTGGTTTATTTCGGTTTCTACCCACTAGAAGGTAAGCTCAAAGGAATGGGCACATTCTTGGCTTTGAGCTGCAGGACCGGGCAGGGGTGCTGCTGGGCAAGCAGGTATCAGCAGATCACATCAGGAAGTGAGGGGAAGTGGGAAAGGGTGCTTCCATCCGCAGCCATCTGCTATTTCAAGCTGGAAAGACAAGGAAGCATCCCATTTTCTGTCCTGTGTTTGCATGGCGATGGATTATTGCGATGCCTAGGATTAGCATGATTCTTGCAATTTCTAGACGTTTCTTTTCCTTTTTTCCCTGGCCTTGGTGTGGATGCAGTAGCTCCTCCCTCCTCACTTCCTTGGCTGCTGCTGTGTGGGAGGAGCTGTGCCTTCCAGGGGACTGTTTCAGCAGCCATGGGCTTTTGTTTGCTAAGGGCTTGGGCAAAGTCGAAGCAGCCAGCATAAGCCTGTGGGCTGGGGAGAGGGCCAGCAGTGACCGAGGGATGAGCCTCTGGGATCTGAAGGAAGGCATCGAACGGGTGTTTCCTGGGGTTTACTATGTGGGGCTTGCACATTCCGCCCCCTGCTTCCCATGACATCCATTGAAGACTTTTTTCTTGGGAGAGTGGTGGTGGGGGGTCTGTCTTCAAAAAAGTGTTGAAGACAGAGGCAGGTATAGGGGTATATAGTCAAAACTACCAGTGGAGACGGGCCACATCAGGACTCTCATACAGTTTCAGGCAAGTGTTTGAGATGGCACAGATGGTATGTGTATGTGTGCACATGTGCACACATGAATCCTGGGATGGACCCCTTAAAATGGGGACACCTTTGTTTCCTGGTTGACCCACAGAAATGAGGGAAAAACGGAACTTTTATGTGGCCCGTTTTCAAACCTCCTACTTCTCTCCCCCATCTCCTCAGCGTCACACAGACCCAGGAATGTGCTTTCTTACCCTGAGGCCTGCTCTGTGTCTCCTCGATCAACTGTCCTAACCAGGGAAGTTCTACTTGCAGCCAGCTTCTTTGATGGTGCAGCTTTCTGTGCAGGGGTCCACTGAAGGACAGGGCTGGGTAGGGACGGGGTGCTGCGTCTCCTCAAAGCAGGGACCCCTTTTACTTCCATCAGCACCTTTTAGTCTAAAGTGGTGTTTTGGACTTGTGGTCATGAATCTCCAGTAAGCTCAAAGGGTCATGATCAGCATTAAAAAAATAAATAGGGGGTCTCTGAGATGGCTCAGTGGGTCAAGGCACTTGGGCCCAAGCCTTCTGACCTGAGTTTGATCACCAGGACTTACATGGTGGCAGGGAAGAACTGACTCTTGCAAAGCATCCTAATTTAACCTCCACGGGTGTGCCTTGACACATGTGCCCTACTCCAAATAAAATAAATAAATAAATAAATAAATAAATAAATAAGCATAATAAAATAAGCAATAGACACTGGATATGGTGGAGCACGCCTGTAGTTTCAACACTTGAGAGGCAGAGGCAAAAGGATTAGGAGTCTGAGGTCATCCTCAGCTCCACAGTGAACCTGAGGCCAGCCTAGGTTACTGGAGATCCTATTCAAGGGGGGGTGGGGTGGAGAATGAGCTCCAGAGAAACCCAAGCTTGCTCTGTAGCAGAGTGGCATTTACCTCAAATCCTAGCGCTTAGGAAGGTGAGGTAGAAGAATTTCAAGTTTGATGCTAGCTTGGACTACATATCAACACCCTGTATTAAAATTAATAAATAGATTGGGCCAGCAAGTTGGCTCAGTAGATAAGGGTGCTTGCTGTCAAGCCAGACAAACCGAGTTCGGTCCCAGGGACACACACGATGGAACAAGAGAACTGACTTTTGCAGGTTGTCCTCTGACCTTTACACTCTGTCATGGCACGTGCATGCATGTGCAACACGCACGTGCGACACACACTCTCTCTGAATACATAAGTAATTAAAATCATGGAAAAAACAAATAAAACAGAAATATCAGAGCACATTACCTGTTTAGGATTAAGTATTGATGTGTATGTGAGTATGTGTGTATCATGTATTCAACAGGTTTGGAAGCTACTTGCTGGGAACCCTTACCACAACTATAATTTAGCCGTGTGTCTCTCCTTTGGCAGTATTTAATGTGTTTTTAGTGGGCGAATTGTCAGCCCACTTCAGCCCACATTAGACCCGCAGGGGCAGGTGGCTTCTGGTCCAGGAGCTGTCATTTGAGGCGCTGGGAGGGGCCTGACGACACCTGTTCACAGGCCTGAAGCCCCTCACACCATGCAATGAATATTTTTCCTCTTAGGACAACAGATGGGAGCGGCTTTCTGGGTGGTTGCACTCGGGTGAGTCATCTCGAGATCTGCATGCACGGCTCCCTAAAATGCAGCAAACTGAACATGTCAGGCCACATAAATTCCTGAGAGAAATGTCTTTGTCCAGAAACAGTGTGAGCGTGTTGTTCGGCGTTGCCATAGGGAACAGCCAGCTTGGCTTTTGAAATGCCCAGAGGAGAGCTCTCTGATTGGCTCTCCGTACTGCTCATCACTTCTGCCCAGCAACTGGCACTGCAGCGTCCAGAGCGCCCGCCCCCAAAGCCGTGGCCCTGTTTGGGGCAAACTTCTTTATGCTGTCGGCTCTGGTTCGCCAAAGCCGGGGGTCTCGAGCTGCTGAATGGGAGAAGGCCTTGGGGTGGCGAGAGAGAAACGGCCGGGAGCTGGGCTCACCCGCAGAGGGCTCCACGCGGGTGGACTCAACCTACTCATTCTGAACGAGGCTTACTAGCGCTTTGGCAGAGAATAAAAGGAGGCACGCAGCCGTAGGAAACCCCACGCACACATCTTTGAACCTTCTGCCTTGTGGCTTATTTGAAAAGAATCCAAATAGTGCAGCCTAGAGATGAGAGCCTTTCTGGATTTGGGCAGTTCCCCTGTGCAGGCAGTGTAAGGCACCGAGTCCTCAGTGTGCCAGGACTGCGCCCTGGACAGGGCTGAGGACATGGGACGAGGCTCCGAGCACAGGTATAGGAGCCAGGGGCACCCTGAGCCTGCTGGGTCATTTAAAGACACCCATAAGGGGAGGCCCATCTGACCATGAGTCTGCAGTGGGCTCCAGAGTCGGCATGGGTGGGACGGCCACTCCATCTAAACTCCTGCCTGAACTCGGGTCTGTGGCCGTGTGACCCAGGTGGGGGCGCCACTGGCCCAGCTGAGCCTGGCGAGCAAGGCCGCTGTCTGGGCTCTGGTACAGGCACCTGTTGGCTAATGCATCCAGGGACATCCTGCCAGACTAGCTAGGCTTCTAGAACATTCCACGAGGTAAGCTGGACAGATGATGCTGGCCGTCCTGCCTCTGTGCACTGCAGAGCACGTGGATGGGCACTGGCAGGCTGGTCACTCTGGCCTCGGCTTCGGCCTAGGGATCCCACGAGCTTTCCTGAGAAGGGAAGTGTGAGGGTCCAGCTGATCACGGCCTCTTTCCTCAGTGGCCCGAACTTCCAAAGGATAGGCCCTCATTTGCTCCCATCTTGCTATGGCTCTAGGGGCGGGCCATCGTGGGGGGAGCCCTGGGAGCCCTTGGTGGCCATGAGCCGGCAGGATGAAGCCGCCGCTGGAGAAATGGGCGTCCCTGGCCTAGGGAAGTGCCCAGGGCAAACTGGCCACCCTGTCCACCCTGGGCCAGACCCAGTTTCCTGGGTGGGTGGGTGGGTGGGTGGAGGGAGCCGAGGAGGAACTCTGCTCCACCTCTGACAGCTGGGTCCGATGGTGCCAGGCCCGCCCGCCTGTGAGAGGCATGCGAGGGGCACGCGTGCAGGCGGCGAGTCTGTGCCAGCGTGAGGGCCGTCTGTGGGATCTGCGCGCCTGTGAGCTCCGTCGGCGATGCCCGTGTGTCCTGCGGGGGGGCGGGGGGGCAGGCAGGAGACACTCGGAACGAACTCGGCACGCGTGTCAGCGACCCCGTGTCTTCGACAGGTGTGAGGATGGGACGTGAGTGCTCGGGCAGGCGAGTGTGTGGGGGCCGCCCGTCGAGGTGGCGACGCGAGGAACCCTCCTCGCCTAACTCGGCTCGACACTGGCTTTTTGACCCGGAAAGCCCGGGACGCGGGCGGGGCGCGAGGGCGCACGCGCGCGCGCGCGCGCGCTTGCGGAGCGGGGGGAGGACCCCCCCCCCCTCTCCTCCCCCGGGCCCTGAGGGCCTTGGGGCGCGCGCCGCCGTTGCTAAGGCCGGCGGCGAGCGCGGGGCCGAGGGTCCCTAGCAACGGGCGCGGGCGCGCGCCAGCCGCGGGGGATGGTGGGGGGGGGGTGGCGGCGGCGGCGGCGGCGGCGGGCGGGCGGCGCGCGCGGGCGGCGGGGGCGGGCGCGCCGGGGCGCGCGCCGGCGGCCCGCGGGGATTTCCAGCGCGCGAGAGGAAGTGCCAGCGCGAGGGTGCGTGAGGCGGCGCGGCCGGCGGCCGCCGCGTGCGCGAGCCGGGTTGCAGCCCAGCAGGGACTTTCCAGCCGGCGGCGGCGGCGGCGGCGGCGGCGGCCGCCGGCCCTTCCCCGCCCCCCGACATGGGGCTGCCCGGGGAGCTGGACGCTGCAGACGACGGCGGAGGGTGCGCGCGGCGCCCCTGAGCCGGCCGAGCGGGCGGGCCGCGGGGTAAGGTCGGCGGGCCGGGGCGGCGGGGCGACGGGGCGGCGGGCGGCTCCATCTCGGCGGCGGCCCGGGGCCCCGGCGGGTCCTGCGAGGCCAGGCCCGGCCTCCTCACCGTCTGTGGTGCGGTCCGCCCGCCGCCCCAACTTTGGAAACTTTGTGTGTGGGGCCGGCTCCCGGCCGGAGGCGCCGGCGCTTCAGGCAGGCGGGGCAGCCAGGCCTCGCGCCCTAGGTGCCCGCCCCGAGGGGTGCTGAGCCGGCAGCATCTCAGAGGCCCGGGGGTTTGGCGCGGTACGGACCGACGGAGTCGGGGTGCCCGTATAGATAAGCGTGCTCGCCCTGGCTGGTGGAGGTGGGTTTTTGAGCCATTATTTAAAAGTTTATACTGAGTCATTGCTCTGCAGATGAATGACTGATTCATAGTCGGAGAGCTGCAGAGAGGCTGGAAGGCAGGCGGTTCTGGGATCCAGCTGGGGCCGAATGCACACCTTCCACCTTCGATTAACACCAAAGGTCAGAGTGGGCTCTCCACGGGCGAGTCATTAAAACGATCCCTGCCGCGGGGCTTTGCAGGGTTTGGAGGCGCCAGGCTGTGGCTCACGTACGTTTCGCCACGTTTCCACACTGTCATCACCCCCTGGTTGGGGACGCGGGTTTCAGGATTAAACCTTTAGAGAGAATTCCGCGTGGAAAATTCTTTACCTTTAATTTGAAACGGCAACAAAATGCAAATGGGTGAAGTGCCGTGGACGTGCTCTGAAATCTAAGAAGCATTCGGACTAATGATCGGCTGAAGGAACTGATTTTATTTTCACGGCTTTTGTAGTGAGCTTTGACTCAGTTTTGAGAATGAAATAGAAGGGTGTGTGTGTGTGTGTGTGTGTGTGTGTGTGTGTGTGTGTGTGTGCGCTCTTTTTTTTGTGGAGTCTTAAAGGGTATATCGAGTGTTGTATTGGCGTCTTAATTTACATTCACAGCATACAACTGAAGAGGAGCCATAATTTTTTTTTTTTGGGGGGGTAGCATTTTCTGTGACTAGATGCACAGGTGAAATCTTTGGAAATGCTGTTTTGTGTTGTCTGTAAAATGCTTCTATGTAGAAATGTCCAGGTGGACCCTCAGTCGGGCTTTAAAATCTTCTGGTGCTTTTCAGGTCTTGGAAAATGGCCTGTTGAAAATACTGCATCATTGTAGGATGTCTGGCAAAATAGTGTACAGCCGTCCTTTACTCAAAGGAGAGGAAATGTTTCCCTTTTCGCCATATTGTGACATCTTAAATAGTAACAATTAGTCTGAAGGTGAAAATTCTCTGGTCAAAGCAAATTGAACCTTTAAAGTGTAAAAACTGGGGAATCTATCACAGGAGTCAGAAATCCCTGTGAGTAGGTGCTGGGGATGGTTCCAGCCTCACTGGCTCAGATCAGACCTCATCACGGACAAGGTTTAAGATGTAAGGTGGCTCACCCAGACACCTCTGTTCCAGCTGTCACAGTGCAGAAGCCAGGGAGGCAGAGAGCTGGCTGGGGAGAATTCCAGCATTTTTAAACCAAGACATGAATGTGAATTTTTCTGTGAGGGAAAAGAAGACCAATTATTTTTCTTGGATGCTATCCATTCTTTTTGGAATTAAGAAGATGGCCCTGTGAGAAGGCTGCAGAGACATTCTGTTGGAAACAGGCAGTAGTCAGTTGTTTCTGCGACTCTTGCTGGAGCTCTGAAGAAAGTCCTTCATTTAACTGGATACTTCTTGTTGTCCCCGTGTTTGGGATTTTTTTTTTCTAAACACTTCTGCTAGAATCCCTTAGAAATTTTCAGTGTGTAAACCAGGAAGGACTTCTTGGGGGTATTGTCAGGATAGATATGCTAATGAGCCAAAAAGATGAGCATGAATTATCATTCCCTTGAAATCCTTTTTTGTAATGCTGAAACTGTACCTCTAGAGAGATGAAACCGTCACTGTGGTGTTGCAAGCCTGAGCTAGCTCAGACACCCAAAGGAAATTGCATTAAATTTGTCCATCTTTGTTTTCTCATCTTGTATAGTAAGACTCTCCAAACAGCAAATGAGCTAACCTGTTAAATATTATGCAATAGCTCAGTTTCTTCTCAGTGATCAGTTTTAGAATTATTAACAGAGAAGTCTCATGACCCAAGGCCTTAGCGTAATTTGTAGAATCAGAACCCCTGTGTGCATCTTTGCAAGTATTTACAGGAGAAAATTAATTTTTTTGTTGGTTTGTGTATGTATATGCTCATTACATTCCAGATAGGGAGGGAAGCTGAGAAGGGAGCTAAGAGGAAAGAGGTGAGGCCAGAGGCTTTGGAAGGTGACCAGAGAGCGGCAGCCAAGGCCTGAGTACAGCATGGTGCTTAGGCCTGGAACCAGAGTGAGGGAGGCCCAGAGGCCTGCAGACAGGAAGCAGTAGAGAGAGGTAGCTGGGCATTGATTGGTGTTGTCCCAGAGGAGCTAGCAGAAAGAAGAAAATTCAGTTTTAAAAAGAAAAGTATAGAGGAAAACATTAAATTTATTTGTGTAATTTCGATGATTCCTAATTAATAAAAATATAAAAGGCCTTTTCATTTTGGAAAGCCTTTATTGTTTTGCATATTCCAGGAAAGAATTGGGATGAGAGGCCACTCTAGGAAGAAGGTGAAATTCCTGTTAAACATAGAACCTTTGGTGAAACCTGTTGGTGCTTACACATGGGGTCAGCTGGCAGGGAGTGGGATGTCACTGATGCAGGTGACTGTTGGCTTCTGGCCCCTCCAGGAGTCATGTTGGCATGCATGCTGCATTCAGACGAGCATATTATTAGCTGGGACTTGGGAGTCTTTTGCTCATTTAATTAACGTTCAATTAATGTGCCCTGAGTTCCCATAATCTGGTTACTAAGCTAGGGTGAGTGAGACACAGCACCTGCTTTTAGGGGTGTAATCTGTAGATATCTGGGACATCTGGGTTCCTGTGAAGAGTGAAGGGCAGTGCCAGAACCCACCTAAGATTCGACTGTGACACCAGTTCAAGAACTTTCCAAAAGAAGAGTGAAGAAAAACCAAGTCACCGGCACACTCCCAAAGACTTAACCAGGAAAAACAAGGAAAGTCATCCATATGTGTAGAAGGAAATGAATTAGTGGGTTGTATAGAAGTCTGCAAGTATGGGGTGGGGGTTGTGTTACTGTAAGAGAAAGGCTGGCTGCCTGACTCGCCAGGGAGGCGTCTGGGAAAGGCACCCCAGCTAACCATATGTTAGGAAGTGTGGTCCCACTTGTAGGACCCTGAGAATGGCAGTCAGGGGGGCCTCCCTTCCCTTCTGTGTAGGGAGACCTGTTAGCTTGCTGCTGTGCTCCCTGCTGGTATATACGATGCTGGCAGTGCTGCTAGCCAGTTTTCCAGATGTTACATTTCCTGTGCTGACCTCCAGCTCTTTCAGGCTTTGTGTGATTTGGAGCTGAAGTAGTCTGGCTGTCTCTGACTGAAGAGCTTGGTTTGTGGAAGGGCAGAGAGCAAGGGCACCAGTTTGGACCATGGCATGTTGCTGTGCCTACTGTTTCTCTGTGAAGGTCAGTGATTCTCATCCTTCCTAATGCTGCGACCCTTTAATACGGTTCTTCATGCTGCGTCAGCGGCGACCTCCAAGCATAACATTATTTTGTTACTACTTCATACCTACCTGTAATTCTTCTACTCTTATGAATCGTAATGTAAATATCTGATATGCACCCACAAGGGGTCTTGAACCATATGTTGAGAATAACTATTGTAGGTAGAAAATTTCAAAAAACTGGAGGTGGTGGGAGAGACAAATCTCACTTCTCCTAAACCCACCACTCTGGTCCTTACTGATGAACTTAAAATGTTTTAATCCTCAAGAAATGAAATCTTGGACCCTGTGTTTCATTGGTTTAAAATGATTGATTATTATTGTAGTCTGTGGTGTGTGTGTGTGTGTGTGAGTGAGGACAGCTTTGTGGAGCCCGCTCTGCCCTGGGTTCTGTTGGTTGAGCTCAAGTGGTCACACTTACATCTTTGGATGGCGAACACCTTTGTCCACTGAGCTGTCTCACAGTCCCCAACGTTTCATTTCATGATTTCATTCTTAAAAGGTTGGTTTCATGTTGATTTTAACCATTTGAAACTTGTAGGCTGGTGAGGTGGCTCAGCAGGTAAAGGTGCTTGCCAACAAGCCTGATGACATGAGTTTGTTCCTTGGAACTCATGGGGAAAGGAAAGAGTTGGTGGAAGGAGAGAACTGATTTTTTTTTTTGGATTGCCCTCTGACCTCCACACATGTGCCTCTCGGAAAAAAAAATGAAGTGGAAGCTATTTGGTAACTTCTCATGAGGCCATTTACTAAAAAAGAGACCAGGGACTGTTCTGATTTCCTGATGTCCTCTCCAATTTGAGCACTGATCATACATCCAGACCATAATGCCATATCAGTGAGAAGTTTGACATCTTTTAAGTGGTGAGAAAGGCTAAATTGAATAACCAAGTGAAATGATGTGACCTTCCAGGCGGTAGTAAGCAGCATTCCAGTGGTGAAATACATCTCTAGGAGTCATGATGGTTTTTGTTTATTTTTGAGACAGGTTCTCCCTTTATTGTCCCAGGCTGCCCTTGAACTTGGGATCCTTCTGCCTCAGCCTCCCTAGTGCTGAGTGAGCTACCATGCCTGATGAGTCATAATAGTTTTGATGAGGTTTTCCAAGGTTAACTTTTACTCTGAAAGGCTAATGCCCATTTGGAGACCTGCATGCGTAGGAGGTAATTATAGTTAGGTGCTTGTAATGCCTGTTCTCCTTCCACCAAAGGCCAGGCACATGGTAAGTGCTTGGTGAATGTTTGTATCCAGATTCTGCAAGGTAGGAAGAGAAGGACATGACAGATGACCACAGTGTTCCAGTGGGTTCCAAGTCTGTGTTGTAGTTGTGCAGACCTAGTGCCTCCCTTGATCCTTTTCCTAGATGCCACTGTGTTGCCTTGCTGCTCTGATACATTAGAGGGAGTTACACAGTAGGAAACGACTACTTTGTTGTTGTTGTTGTTGTTTTGAAACAGGGGCTCTTTATGTTGCCCTGGCTGTCCTGGAACTTACCCCATGGACCAGGCTGGCCTCAAATTCACAAGAGATCCATCTGTCAATGTGTCTGCCTCCAGAGTACAGGGATTAAAGGTGTGCACCACCAAGCTTGGCAGGGAAACTTCTTTGATACAAACTTCTTTCTTGGAAGAACAGGGAAATTAGTTCTCTGGAGCACTTTGCTCAGTAATGCTCAGAAGTCCTAACTTTACACTGGAAATTCAGTGCAGTCTGCTGCCGCCTTATTATAGGGTAAATTAAGTGCATAGGTTTCAGAAGGCTTTTCTCTAGGACTTTACCTCCAGTAGGGATAGGGCAAGCACATGAAATTTTATCTTAAAGTAAATTATACATGGTACTCAGTAGTCTGTTTTAATATAAACATACTCTGTTCCTAATCTTTTAGTAGAATTGATTCTGCAAAAGATGCA